TGAATATTGGGAAAACTCAAATGAAGAAAATAAAAATGGAAAATAAAATGAAGAAAATATGAACTATTAGTGGGAATTCATCGGATTTCGAAACTTTTACGGGGAAGATTGTTCAAAAAATTGCTAAATATTTGTAGAGCATGATAAAAAAAAGAGCTTCAAAATTGCTTACCTGAGCCCTGGATATCCTCGGAACACAGTCCATTGCGATTAAGTTTAATTTCTTTTTTGCCAGTTCATCAACGATGGACTTATTGGCAGCTGGATAAACAAACGAGATCAGTGTGGAATTGTCTTTCAAAAGTGACGCTTCACTGATTGATGGTGGTCGTACCTATAATGAACTGCTGTAAAGAATACTTTAGTACTGCGCTAACAAATCTCAGGATATTCATAGTCAACGGTAAACTGTATTAAAATGAGATCGGAACGGACCTTAAGTACGATATCGGCTTTGAGGGCTGCATTTTTGTCGACGACCTTAGCTCCATGGCTTGCATATTCTTCATCGGAAAACCGAGCCTCTGCTCCAGCACCTTTCTCTACCTACAAAAATCCTTTTTAAATAAAAAAGGCCTAGAAAATTAGTAGCCAACTGAGTAGCAATGACTTTTGGTATATTTACGTAAACGAGTCAAAAACTTTAACTATATTGAGCAGACCACAATTTAGCTTCAGGTTTCTTCTGGCAGTAGAGGAGAAAAGAGCGGTGGCGCAGAGGCTAGAGGCGCCGTCACCTTGTGATCAGAACCCACAGAATACAAGAAGCTTTAGCACTTTGTTGGAAGAACGTGCAAAAAATTGGGTTTAGTGCTCCTAGACCGAAACTATGATTTTGTGAATAGCTAAGTTACTGTATGAATAAGGACAACATGAAATTCCTCCCCCTCATTTTTTGATACCAGTAACATATGGGATTGGTATCAAGAAGTTCAAAGTACCCCGTAGGAACCCTTTGTTATTTTTAATGTCGAGCAATTGCTACGCGAACAGCAGGAATCGTTCTCCGATCTAATCCCTTCGGCCGCTGGAACGAAATTCCATCGCTTTGATGGATGGACTGGGATGAACCTTTGAATGAACTGAATCAGTCTGTGATTTTCAATTAGTTCCACAAATATGTTGCAATTTTTTGGGAACACACGCTCATGTTAGAAAAATATTATAAATAAGTAAATAAAAATAATAACAAATAATAAATGAATAAATTATAAATAATAATTTCTTTCCCTCCAAATCCATCAATAAGTTGGTGTTTCAGATCTCATTCTGGCACTTGCCATTCTTCTAAGTGATGTATTGATGAATGCTCCTAATCTTTTTCTGGCATGTGCCCCCTCACTATGTGCCAAGCAAAATACAAAGCCCTTCACTCAATATGCTTTATACATTTCAATTTCAATTTTATTTCAAGCAGGTGTTCAGAACATCATATAGATTAAACTCTTCAAGAACAAGTCTGGTACACCCCATGATACATGAGAACTGCGTGAGTCATACGAGAGATCACGCCATGTATCGTTTTTCTGTCGACCTAAACTTCCCCACCACAAAGGGCTTTTAGTCACGGCCTCTAAGGAAAGCACGACTTTTTATAGCAGATTCAACATTGGAATTCGAATTAAGACATGTGACCCTTAAAAAAGGGCCGTTACACCTGAAAACATTCGTATGCGACTCAAAAAAACCTTAAAAAAGTGGGTCCATGAATTCGTCCAATGCTCTCTCTCTTGTAAAATTTATGTTTACGGTTTTACCTATCTATTTATGATTTCTATGATACTAATATTCCAACCATTGCTATATATATACATATATATATATTTGATTTTTTTTCTCACTAGATCATTTATGAACATTTCATTTCGTACTGTAACTATTAATACTTGAGTAATCAGTAGATTTCCCCCTTTTCCTACAATTCCCTTCAATTTCGATCAGCATATCTTGGCCCACCCACTATCAGTGACGAAAAGATAGCTAAGCGTTCCTTCTAAGTAATCAATAAATTTTCGGAGTCATTTGAGCAAATTTTTGGAAAGAATGCTGCAGAAATCGCTGCTGCTTCAATTAAATGTAAGAAAGGATGTGGTGACATCAATCAATCGGCCGTTCTATCACACAAAAAACTGGGTCAACGACTGGAACCCGGACCTACTGGAATCCCAAAGTAAATATTGAAAAAAGGAAATAATTCAGCTCTCCTAGGCTACAATCGTCCATTATCATTACTATTATTGTTACTACTATTAGTTTCATTATCACAATTGGTAGTATTAGAACTATCATTATTCTTATTATTTCTGATGCTATTATTATTGCTTTTATTATCACTACTATTATCACGATTTGTAGCAGTAGTAGAACTGATATTATTGTTATTATTTATAATGCTATTATTATTGTTATTATTATTATTAGCGATATTATTACGATTGATAGTAGTAGAACTATCTTTACAGCACCTGTTTTAATACTATTATTACTACTTTCACTAGTTGCTATAGTATTTTTGTTTTTATCGTACTAAGGAAAATCAAAAAAATCAAAAAATTGTAGATTTGTATGAAAATCAAAAAATGTAATAAAGTGTCAACCATAAAGATAAACGCTTCGCCGGGAGAAGAGTAAATGAGGTTTCTGACATTCCTTTTTTCTACTGAGATGGATGACTAAGTTCAATGTCCGGTTCTGAGTTCCACTTCGAGGGCAAAGTACGAGGAGCAAGTGGGACAGGCGAGGCTTTCGAAAATTAAATTTAGAAAATCTAATGAAACCATAAGATCCCAAAATTTTCAAAAAATTCCCTGGTCATTTAAAATAGGCTTTATTTAATTTTACCTGTACTAGAATTCGAAAGTTTGGTGTTAACCCAATTATTGACTTGATGTGGGTCTTTTTTCCCTCTGTAACCTCTGTCTAACCCCTCCCCTTCCCACTCCCAACGCATTTTAACCGTAAATATTGATCTGAGCAACAATGAACAATATTGTTTTTTGGGAAACGTGGTTCCAGTTGTTTCTGCATTCTTCAGGGGTTTTTTCTAAAAATTTTCTGAACATGAGAAGAAGATCGTCGCTTCATGAGACATACATACCCTGACAAGTGATAAAGGCACTGTTACTGCCCATCAAAGAACGCGAACAAAGAACTCAAACAAGTGCAACGGGGAACGTTCATAAAGCATTAAACACCGGGGAAAATGTGCTATAAAATTAATCAGAGTGGTAAGAGATTATGAAGAAATTGGCGATAAAGAAAAAAGTGTTCCGCAACAAACAAAGCAAGCAGTTTTAATGAGGAAATGTGGTTTTTTTCTGGAAAAAAAAATACCTGCACATTGAATCCTTTTGCGGTGAGCTGTTTCACAGCAGCTGGACTCAGTGCAACTCGTCGTTCACCTGGAACAGTACTTCGTTACCAAATTCTGTTACAAGTAAGGGCTCACGATAGACATGCCATCAAGTAATTTTGTAAACCTTCAAGCTCATGCAGATACCTTTTGATTCAGAGGGATAACGACAAAAGATACTGAGAAGTACTAAACAAGTTAGGTCGATAACATGCCTAACTTGAAAGGTTTCATCCTACCCTATTCAATCAAATGGCCTACTTTTACTGGAGTACTTCACTGGTACTCCCAGTACTCCCCAGTCTCTTTCACTTACCTTCGAATGTCTCCTTTACAGCCGAGACGGTCAACTTTTTGAGAGCGATGCCCTCAGTTTGAGTGCAAAATAGACGTCCTACAGAAGGACCATTCAGTCCAATATATCTTAATCGATACATGACTGGTCAGATCAGAGTCTAGTAGTAAGTAGCCACCGCCACCGACGAACTTGGCTGGGCATGTGATGAAGCGATCAATGCCCCGTGTAGCACACGCCCTCTGTGCTGACCGATGCTCTACTGAAAAACTGAACGCATGAGAAGAAAAACTGTAATGAAACTCGATACAATGTATGAGAAATTATCAAGGACAATGGGAGGAGCAGTCATTGGCAGTGATAGGGACGTCACAGACACCTGATAGCCTCCTTCTACCTAGGTTTTTAGCGTGAAAATTCTGCCATGACCACCTGCCCCCCATGGTGATCAATGCCCATAAGAGGCTAAGCTGATCGATTTGCGATGAGATGGATCTTTCGAAAAGTCGATCCAAAGGGCTCTTCCTATCATTTGTTTTCTCTGAATGTTTACATTAGAACACCAGCACCATCAACAACAATAAGAGGGCAGCAGGCAGTAGAGAGACTTAGACCACATGCACGGTCTCGCGGTTAAATCCGCTACCTGGCAGTTTCAGGGCCCTTTATTGTCCCACGTTAACTGGCTAGAGCTGGGTTCATTTGCTCTGATTTGGAGCTAACCTTCGCAAGTGACCATTACAGCTGAGGTCTTGAGCACATGCCGAAAGCATGGCGCATTTGGCATCATCCGAGCAAATTACTGTAGATTCATTAGCTATTCTAGAAGTCGTCAATCGTAAAGCGATTCTACTGATGTGCTCAAGGAATAGAGCTCAGATTTGAATGCACAAAAGTAAGTATAGTAACTTTAACTGTTACTGGTAAATGAAGAAATGCCACGAGGTGGGAATTGGAGGAATGAACACGTCTATGGTCGTTCCATTTTGACAGTGATAAGAAATTCCTGAGAGACCTTCACATAAACTCATTTTCGTTTCGATTCGGCGCTTATCAGTGTTCACGTATCACCCCAAAGTAAAAACTAGTAACCCCATTGAAAAGTACTGCATAAATGTCAAGCTATGTTGAAAACATTATCATGAAACTTTTCATGAATAATTTCCTTAAGGAAAGCTGCCAATAAAGTCTTTATGAGTTTCTTAGACTCCTAATTCTTTGTGAACTCAGAGTTCCCGGGGTTGAACAGATAATAGCGTGACAAGAAGGCAAACCACAGACATTAACTATGAAGTTACTGGTAGCGACAATTCAAGTGAACAAGTATTCGACTCTGTATCATTTCCATATTACTTTCCCGGATACTTACCAGAATCGATAGCATGATTTATACTAGTTTGATGTTACCTTAGACACCGAAGTAAAAGTATTCATTGTTTCCAGCCAATAAATGGGCAGGGAATCTATATGAGGAAATGTGACAGGCAAGTTATTTGAAACAGGGAAACTTCCATGATGTCGATCGATATACACAGAATGTATGCCAAGATCGCATCGTGAGCGAGAAGGCGAACAGGCTTCAAAATGTTGACATGAGTGGAAATTCGATGAAAACAAAGGGAAATTGACGTAAAATGGATGGACGGAAGGGGGAAGGCGCAAGAGAAAGTCTGCAATACCGTCTTTCTTGTAATCAAACCTACAAGATTAAAATTGTATGAACCGAATCAGTTCTGATGAAGAACCCCATCACTGTTGTGAGCCGTTAACCATAAAGAGTTCATCGCTGTTTTTTACAATATGTGTTTAATCTGCTTATGAATTGAGACAGTGAAGTGGTTAGAGGCGCCACAGTGGAGCCATGTATTGTCAGGGATCGGATTCCGCCCAGGTCTCCACGAAATTTTCAGGAAGTGTAGTGTAAATTTTGTATGACAATCGCATTTGAGTAGTGAGTACGATTAATTGGAATGATGGAAATGCATGAATGGAAATTACAGATGAAACTTCAGACAAAGAAGGGAGAAACAGGTTTTATATTTTTTTATTTAGATAAGTAGAAGGCGTGACCATTTTTGAAGAATCTAATTTGTCAACCGTTTTCTGACTGACTGGCCGTGCCTAGTAAGAGACGGCANTACAGATGAAACTTCAGACAAAGAAGGGAGAAACAGGTTTTATATTTTTTATTTAGATAAGTAGAAGGCGTGACCATTTTTGAAGAATCTAATTTGTCAACCGTTTTCTGACTGACTGGCCGTGCCTAGTAAGAGACGGCAGGAGACCAGCCACTCCTCCCTCTTAGCAAAGTTGGAATGTGAAGGAAGTGAAGGGGAAAAAATTCAGGACTGAGGACTATAAATGACCCTACTCTGAGCTCTGGGGAATGTGGGGGAACTGCCGATGTTGCTTTTGGTTTACTGACAATAAAAGCGCTGCCATAACACCGGAAAAATAACGAAAACACATCGAAATGAATGAATTGCATGGGCTTCCAAAACTGATAAGCTAGAACGAGGGCGCCCCCTTCGAACGCAATGTAAAAGTGAAGCGGCATTTATAGATAGACTTTTTTAAAGCTGCTACTGTAGGTCCTACTTGTGCTCACTTGATGTCGCTATGAGAAAGACAAACCAGATCGTCGTACCAGGGAGAACCAGTGCGACAATATCGACTCATGTGATCTGTTTCAAAACACTGGAGTGCAGACCCTTCGTGTACTCTAACTGCGATTCCAGTAATTGGGCTCAAAAGTACCAGTGTGATGGAATGTAAGCAGACAGAAATGCTACGTTTTGCAATAGCAATGAGTACATTCTATCGGGACAGCTCAAGAAAGTTCTTTCTCCTAAACGACATGGATCTGATGGGGAGCAGGTAGGAAGGGAACAATGCTCGGACAGGTTCAGAGTGGAGCGGTGGTGCTGAGCTCAGCAATAAACTCCCCCTTGCCCCATGTGTGCCCTTTATCAAAATGCTGAGCCTTATTGTGATAGAAGGCGTAGGTGTGTCCTTTCTGAAAAGAAACAGACCACCTAAACGTAGAGGACGCCACATCATCGTCTAGGCTATTGATAGCGGAGACGTGATGGTGAGACACTTATAGTTCCGTAATGGACTTGATTTTTTTCCGTCGCCTCTATCACAGCACACATTTCCGAAAGGAAATTCTTTCGCTCAATTCTATGCTTCGTTGAGAAAGTCAGCTAGAAAGAGCTCAAAGTGGTCGTGCTCAACCTGCAAGTACTACTGTAGTCCCATAAGTGCGTGGACCTCCCATGGGCACCAGTGTATGTATAATCTCTCCCCATCAATTTCAATAAATTATATCCAAGTTCATNTTGCACTAAAAAGAAACGATGTGGGCTTACTACTTGACTTTTGATTTGTAAATGAAGAGGAGGTAATCCGTCCCTGCTCACTTGCACAGTTTACAAGCAGAAAAAGCCAGCTTATCCGGTGTATTTACACAGAGTACTGTAGTAATGTAAAATGATGCACGTTGTGTTATGATAGCGTTCAATGACCGTATTTTAAGTTTATTAACTAAATATGAAATCTGAAACTAATGAAATTTATTAACTAAATATGAAATTCGAAATGACATCAATCTCCTGGCAGTAGATCCATGATCTCGGTCAATCTACTTCATAAAGAAGCTTCAGCTACTTTGCATGCTTCTATCAGAGCCATAACAAAACGATGGCAGTCCACATAATTGTTGTAGAGATGTACTGGAGTAACACGAATAACATCCGGATATCGCTTGTCGACCTGAATATGATTACAAATTAATGTAGTTCACCGTAAATACTTTATGCATGCTTCCAATCCATTGCCTGTACAGAAACCAAGGAAAACAAAAATTTAAAATATATCGTTTGTGCTACAAAAAATGGTATTATGAATCCCACACGAACAGCAATTTTTTCACAAAAATCACACATGAATTGTTAAAGTTCTATAAAAAATTAACGGTGTGGAGCAAAAGTGTGAGTATCACTCACACATCGAGAACGAAGTGCAGAATCTTCACCAGATAAGCCAAACTTTGATTCTTTTCGAGACTGCTTAATTGCTAATGGACTAGTGTAAGCGTTTGGAGCTCCTACTACAAAATGACTGCGTCACTGGCACTTTTATGATCTTGACGGTTCCGAACCAAACTCGAATGCGTGGCGTATCTCGAATGAGCATTACAAACTTCTGAAAATTCATCTTAGGGTCACATTCATTTCATGTTAGCTGCTGCTCTTTCGCCGCACTATACGATGCGAAAGTCTTACAAGAGCAGCGAATTTTGTATAAACCTTTGGCCTCTGACGGGACTCTAACCTGTACCTGAGCCATCAAGGCACCGTTCTATTGCCCATTACACTACCGAGACTCCACTTGCCCTCGCCTTTTTAATGGCTTTTATGCCATAGCGAAATTAAGCCAAAGTAATGNAGAGGAGGCTATTCACAGGTGGCAGCACTCAATCCATAAATCTGTTCAGTACTGTGCCAAAGTAGTTCTGAATGAAATGCCGCCGACACCGTGAATGCAGTATTATCGCATTTGTTCTTCCTTTTCTCTCGTTCATTCACACTCGATCGGCTGCTTATAGTCATTCGCATTTGTACGTTCCTGTGTCAATTCCTCCCTTTTGTTCCCTTTTGAGTAGGACGTTGAAAACCCCCTTTCCTTGTACCTTTTCGCCATAACTTTAGAGATCAAATGGCTTTGCAAAATTCATATTGGTATCTACACCCCACTGGCAGATTCTGTACCAATTAAAATTTTCGAAGCAACTTGTTGTGTGGCTTTCCTGGAAAAGATCCGACCTTCGGAACGCTCCAATGATAGCGGCACTTCTTGGTGGACCACCTTTCATGTACATAGGGAGCCAGAGCCTCTGGCAGAGGTGGCTGGAAGCACCGCTATCACTGGCTCACTACTTGAATTCGATCCATATATCTAAATATTACATTGTTGCTCCTCATATCCATTTCATTTGTTGCACTTAGCTGAAAATGTCTTTTCGTTTATACTTCAGTAACATTGTAATCGGAATTGGACAAAAACCCACCGCCACTCCACGTTTGACTAGTTCTGGGTAGATAACATCAATTGAAACCGAGAAACGCAAAGAGAGCTGGCATCCACGTTCATGGAACTCCTCCGGGGTAATTATGGCGCAGGAAATTTTGGAAGCTCTGTCAAAGCCAGTGTTGTAAAGAAAAATTCCCCTTTTTAAGAGATATACCGCACCTGTGTTCAGAATCCTCGGCGAAGAAGTACTTAATCAAGAACTCGAGGTAACCGGTTAGGTAGCACGACCTACTACGTAGGTCTTCCAGGGATACATTTTTGAAAACCTGAAGATATAGTAAATACAAAAGCCAAAACAGTCATGATTACAAACAAAGCATTCGGGCGTTCACTTCTTAATAGGAATTTCACAGCCCTTATTGACGACATACCTCTAGTATGCCCATTACTGGTACAACAAGATGAATTGGTGGATTGCTGATTCTGTATCCGGCTGCGCCATCGTCGAGATCAAGAACTGAATGTACAAGAATAACTACTTGTATTTGTGGGACAAATCGGATCAATTGCCAGCTTTTTGGCCCACCATTGTCCATATTAAAGCGACTTTCTATTCGATGGCTCCACCAACCCAACATTCGCTCTCGTTTGTCTGTCTTGAATCTGGAAATCAAAAATTTGGCAACCTTTATGTTAAGGACAGATACGGACGATATAAAGGACAAAGAATAAAGTCTTTGGGCTCCAATCAAACCCGCCTGGGGATGCGCCCCGCATTCGATTTTCACTCAGAATCGTAGTGGCTTAATGTGTGCGTATGTACCCTTCACATGATCTGCGGTGGCCAGAAAATCTATAAGTCAGTGTTCTTATCTTCCCAGACGAGTCTGGAACCAATTAATCGGCCTGAGAGAAATAGAAGGCCTGCTTAGCCTGAGCGGACTCCGGGATTCGAACCCTTGTTC